AACCAAACCAAACCCACTGTCATCGAGTTGACTCTAACTCGTAGTTACCCTACAGGACAGAGTAGAACTGCCCCGTAGGGTTTCCAAAGCTGCCAGTCTTTATGGAAGCAGACTGCCTCATCTGGTGGATTAGAACCACCGACCTTTTGGTTAGCCAACCAACCAAAACCAAACACTGCTGTTGAGTGATTCTGACTCATAGTGACTCCTCCTTGAGTTTCTGGGGAGTGGTATCTCTATGGAAGCAGATTGCCCAACCTTCCTTCCGAGGAGTGGCTGGTGGGTTTGAACCACCAGCCTTCTGGTTCACAGTCAGATGCCTTAGGCAGTACGCCACCACCACTGTACCACTGGAACTCCTTGGCCTATAATAAGTCGTGAGTAAATGATAGCTAATGATAACACTGATGATAATGATAAACTAAGAGTAAGAAGTCTTGTCAGTCAGCCAATGGAGTAGGGACACATAACTGGTTACTGAATTTGGTGATTCAGTAACCTTGAAGTTCAGTAACCTTGAGGGCTCCACACTGGGCACTGTGCTTCACCACCTGACATCAGGTTTCCCTTTGTGTTCTTGTTTGAAACAGTATTTCTACTCCCAATGCTACAGTACTGCACTCTGTGGATGACATCATCTCTAGTTCCTGTTTGTTCCAAATCCCACTCTGACCTCCAACCATGGGGTCATGCCAGTATCCTAAAGTCTGCACATCAGGAACTACGCTCTCCATGAAGAAGTAAGGGGATAAGGTGTAGGTTGGAGAGCTGAGATGATAGGGGAAGAGTTGTGGAGATTCTGAGTTGAGGGGTCACACCATTGGAGATGTCTAGCAGAAAGTTGGAGATCTGGGACTGGTGGTCACAGCTAAAATTGCAAACTTAGGAGTTGTCTACTTAGGCACATAAAGACCAACCATAGATGGGATGCCAAGGGAAAGAGAAGAGGGCTAGGGTGCTGAATCTTCAGGAATGTAAATAGTAAGCAGGGAGAGGGACCACATAGTAAATAGGACAGATCACCGAGGCAGTAAGAACCAGAGAGTGCTGCGTGACCAGAACCAGGGAGGGATTTCGGGTTGGAGAGAGCTGGACTACCACACAGTGCAGGAAGGCTAAGGAGGATGGGTGAGGACCGTGGAGTGGCCATGGTGGGAACATGTGCTTCAGCATAGTGAGAAGGGGGCTGGAGGGGAAGGGGAAACGGGAGCGGTGGGAAGGTGAAGGGAGGCTTGTAATGGGTAGGTGGTGTCAGGGAAGGCTGTCCTGTTTCATTTTGCTTTCAATGTGCAGAGATCTCGGTGTGTTTGTAGGAAGCAGGCAGCCAGTGGAAGAGCCCTGGAAGCAACCCAGGGTGTGATGATGCAGCTGGTGCCTAGGGGAGGGGAGGAAGGCTGGGGTCTTCAGGAGAGGACTAGTTTGATTGGGAAGTTAAAGGGAATGAGGAAAGAGAGAGTGATAAATTTAAGGCGCTCAAACATGGGCTCACCCTTCTTAGGAAAGTGGAAGTCACAGTCATCTTTATGGATGAGGCAGGGTGGTCAGGAAATGAAAATGGAAGTAATTTAGAATAGTTTCTCAGGTCTTCAGCACTCCTATAACAGAGTTACCACAAGCGGATGACTTTAGCAAACACAAGTGGAGTCTCTCACAGTTTAGGAGGCTACAAGTCCCAATCTGGAGCACCAGCGCTAGGGGAAGGTGCTTGTCTCCTTTCGGCAGCCGTGGGCTTGGCCTGCCTTGGCGAGCTCCATGTGCCTTGGCCTCAGTCTTGCCCTGGGTCTAGGAGGTTCTCCGTGCAGGGAGCCCAGGTCCAAAGGACACAGTCTGCTCTGGGCTCTTCTTTGTTGGTGGTAATTAGATCCCTCATTCTGTGCTCCCTTCTCTCTCCTTTTATCTCTTTTAAGATAAAGGGTGATGCAGGCCACACCCCAGGGAAACTCCTCTTAGGTCCATACAGCATCCCACCCTAATCCCCTTGAGACTGATTGGCTGATCACATCAGATCACATTACATAACTGCCAGATTACATCATTACATAACTGCCAAGCCAAGATGACACACATTTTGGGGGGAGACAGATCACTCCTTGACAGATAGCCGTTGTGGGCGATGTAGAGAGAGTTAAAAGACAGGTGAAAACTGTGACTAACTGTCAGTCACTATCGAGTGGCGGGCAGCTAGCATGAGTTTTAATGGAGCACATCCTTTCCGGCTCTACGTGGACAGTGCGTCTGCTGTGTGCCAGACAAAGGAGTAAGGTGGAACCTCGGAGAGCCACAGTAGAGGGGAGACGCAGATAGTGGAACGCTGTGGCATGTTATCTTAGGGAAGCGCACATGGGGTGCTATGCAAGTACAGAGAAGGGACCCCAGAGTCTATGGGGAGGAGACAGTGGGGTAGAGGGAGGAAGAATGCCAGTGCAGGCGTCTAAGAGCAGATGCTGGCCCAGCTGAGCCCTGATGGGGGGCTGGAGTTTTCCCAGCTCAGGGAGTGTCAGAACCAAAGCCTTGGGGGAGAGAGCAAGGCATAGGTCTGCATTCCACCGGCTGCCGAGTCACCTGGGTGCTCGTGCTGCAGATGCCCAGGGCCCAGAACCCTCCGATGGCATCAGGAATCTGCATTGCTAACAAGCTCCCCAGCTGATTCTTCGAGCAAGCATTTACTGAATACTTAAGTTCAGCCCCTGTCCTGTGTATCTGCTCGGGTTATCACAGTAGGTCGCTCACTGTGCAATGGGTGAGCCAAGCAGGCCTGGGACAGGTGTGCCCAGATCACACTGCTGATGAGCCACGGAACTGGGGTTCAACCCGTTGCCGAGAGCAGAGCTCTCTAGGCTGGTACATGGGAGTGCTGGGTTAGGCTGAGAGAGAAGAGCACCGAAAACCAAACTCAACAGCATCGAGTCGATTGCGACTCATAGCGACCCTCTCTGGGTCTCCGAGGCAGTAGATCTTAATGGAAGTAGGGGCTGTGGTAAAAAGCTTAGCACTTGGCGTCATGCTTTCATGCCATTTCTAGCAGTGCTTACACGCTGAGAGGGAAAGCAGATGATGGCTTTTTCCGTTAGTGTACCAGCCTGCCATTTTACCCCCCAATTGTCTGGTCCAGCCTGACGTCATGTCTCCCCTTTTCCATCTCCATAAAGCACCCCTCTTCGTCTGAGCTGCACCCAGCCCTGTCTGACTCATCTCTATCCCAGTGTCTGGCTGTGACTCTTGTTTACTTGTGTGTCGTGTCCTTTTTTCCTCCCTCTCTAGGATTTAAGCTTCGAGCGGGTGGGGCCCTTGTGTGTGTTGTTCCTTCCTGTGCTCCTAGACCCTGCCCCAGGAGGCAGGCAGGCAGTCAGGCTCTGCACAGCGATGAATGGCTCTGTGTCCGTGTCACGGCCTCCTGCCTCATTTGAAATCAGGACCCTGCACGTGTCCTGCAGGCTCTGCAAGGTCGACCCTCTGCCCCTTGTTGGTGGCATCCCCTACCCCTCACTAGACTTGGACTGCACTGGTGCCCAGCAAGCTCCTGCCTCAGAGACTTCACACCGGCTCATCCTGCCCCAGGGACCTGCAGGGCTCATTCCCTTACTTGCTTCAGGCCTCTGCTGGACTTGTCAGGGAAACTGAGTGCATGAACCGGTGCACATGCTGCTCTGTGACCTCTTACTGGTGCCTGTTGTTGGTTGCTGTCGAGTTGATTCTGACCCCTAGCAACCCTGTATGACAGAGTAGAACTGCCCCAGAGGGTGTCCTAGGTTGTCGTGTTTGTGGGAGCCAACTGCCAGGTCTTTTTTCCTATGGAGTCACTGGTGGGTTCAAGCCCCAGCCATTCAGTTAGTGGCCGAGCACTTACCAGTGTGCACTAACGTTCAGTTACCGTTGCCTCCAAAACCAAAACCAAACTCACTGCCATCGAGTCAATCAATCCCAACTCATAGCAACCCCCTTTGGGTTTCTGAGGCAGTAAATCTTTATGGATGTAGATTGCCCAGTCTTCCTTCTACGGAGTGGCTGGTAGCTTTGAACCACCAGCCTTCTGGTTAGCAGTCAAATGCCTTAGGCACTGCGCCACCAGAGCTCCTACTGCTGCCTGTTATGTTGTTATGTGCCGTCGAGTCGGCCCCGACTCATAGCGACCCCTCCTTGGGTTTCTGAGGCAGTATCACTACGGAAGTAGGATTGCCCAACCTTCCTTCCGAGGAGTGGCTGGTGGGTTTGAACCGCCAGCCGTCTGGTTAGCAGGAAAATGCCTTAGCCACTATGCTACCAGAGCTCCCAACTGCTGCCTAGTGGTGGTGATTTCTTTGCACCTGGACCGCATCTCCCTCTGGGCTCCTGATTTTCTCCAGCTTCTAATTCTGTGGACAGGTGCTCATCACATACTGATTTGATCTTACCCACTTGGCTGGGTTTTTTTTAACCATACATGTATTTAGAGTCCTGGTGGCACTCAAGCTCAGCCACTGACCAGAAGATTGGGGTCCCCCCACAGGTTCCTCAGAAGAAAGGCCTGGTGAGGTTCCTGTGAAACGCTGGCCGCTGATGGCCCCGGGGAGCACAACTCTGCTGTGCACACTCGAAGTCGTGTGAGCTGGAATGGACTTGGCAGTGACTGGCTGGCTTTGGTTTTGATTTTAGTTCTTAACTGACGTCTACCAAATACATGCAGAGCAGTGCACTTAGTGTTGTCTCGGCTCGTTCTCCATCTGCACTGCTGAATTAAAGTTCCGTTCGGCGCAGTAGCCACCTTGCTAGCGCTCAAGGTATGGCCGTCATTGAACCACGCAGAAATAGAGCATTTGCATCGCCACAGGGAGTGTTTATCTAGATGCTCAGGAAATGGTGTGATGCGTTTTTTACTGTGCCGTACGGGGGAGTCCCCACAGTGAGCCGTCCATCCATCAGCGGGGGCTGGTGCCGCTCGGTTTGCAGTCACGTCATTAAGCATCCCCGTTGCTCCGCCCTCTTTCCGTAGGTCTCGCGGATGGTCTCGCGGATGGTCTGGCATGGACCCTGTTGCTGCTCACAGCTGCCACCTCCTCCAGCAACTGCAGGAGCAGCGGATCCAGGGCCTGCTCTGCGACTGCATGTTGGTGGTGAGAGGCGTTTGCTTCAAAGCCCACAAGAACGTCCTCGCAGCCTTCAGCCAGTACTTTAGGTACGCATCCCAACGGTCCTCTGTGCATTGTGGAGGAGCCCTGGTGGCACAGTAGTTAAAGCGCTCGACTGTGAGCTGAAAGGGGGCGGTTTGAATCCACAAGCTGCTCCGTGGGAGAAAGATGTGGCAGTCTGCTTCGGGAAAGGTGACAGCCTTAGAAAGTCGACGGGGCAGTTCTACTCTGTCCTACAGGGATGCTATGAGTCAGAATTGACTCAAAGGTAGTGGGCGGAGGCTTGTTTTTCTGCTAATTATAGTGGGGGAAGTTCTTCTGGAATGGAAATATTTTGGCTAAATTTTCACTTCTCCTTGGATTTGACTGTCTTTTGTACATGCATACTTATAAATATATGTACAGAGTAAATATACAAAGATAAATATGTATCTTTTATAGCCAAACACAAAAAGAGCCTCTTAACTAAGATGTCTTTGGGGCAATTGAAAGTATTTTGGCACTTCGTGTTTAGTTTTAATAATTCTAATTAAATGTCAGTCTTCTTCGTGTATTTCTTAGCCTCTCAGGATCGAAAGATTGAGGCAGTGAATACCTGTGAAGAATGTTTCTATGATAAGAAATCAGAGAGGGGAGAACATCCTTATGTTGTAGTATTTTGTTTTTAATTCAAACATTTTCGTTTTGTTTCTCATGTGAATATTCTAAGGAAATCATACATTTTAACTCAACCTAGTATTTTATGGCCTCTAATCAGGTTTGCTTATATGAAATGCGTACAAATACTGAATAATATCAAGCACTTATGTTTATTTCTTTAACATTATTAGAGTTAAGTATTCTATCTCAACTGATGTTCTGGTTGATGGAGATTTGTCTCTTTAAGAACCAGAATTGCTTCTTTTTTGCTTTTTTTTGAGTTGTTATTCCAGTTTCCGAGATGTGTACCATTTCACTGTTCTGTAAACTGACTGGCACCTGGCTCAGTCTGCCCTTGATGGTCCTGAGTCATCAGACTGCACCTCAAGGTTGTGTGTCTGATGGGTCTGTGTTACAGTGGGTGAGCCCATTGATACGGATCGCACTGCTTACCTCAGTGCAAAATGGAGCCTGCCTGTGGGCTTCTCTGTGGCCTGTGCCTTTCCTCTTCCCAGGACAGTCAGGTGTCAGTGTTGGGGCCCACTGGCTCTTCTCGGTATCCCCTGTCCTGCTTCTGATTGGTGCTGTCTGTAGGTAAGAACAGAACGAAAGGCAGTTTTGGGGTGACTGACCCTAGGGGGCAGTTCTGTTCAGTCACATGGGGTAGGCCTTTACGCACCTAACAACCCCTACCTTCGTGCACCCCAGTGACTCTACTTGATAAAATGTCTTCAGCAAACTCGTGAGCTGGTTTACCGTGCTCAGCTTGTCATTTTCACCGATCGCTTGCCTGTGATCTTGAAAATGAAGTGCTGGCCTCGCTGGTGCCTCTTCCCTCATTCACTTAAAGGGTTTGTTTCATTTCTGGTTTATAGACCACTGGCTTGCTGAGAGGCTTAGCAGCAAACTAAATTACTGATTACAAAAAGGGGATATACTGAGGTTGGTTTAGTAAAGCCTATTTTATTTTTAGAAATTTCTGAGACACATAACTAGGAGAATAATGTGTTTATGGCCTGAAATATATCATTTTCCAGACTACCCATGAAATATTGAAAAGTTTGTAACCTTTATTTTTCTATACTCTCAGCCCGTGATTAATAATGCATATGGATAATTTTTTAAAAATCTTAAAAGGATAGTCTTGTATGTATTGAATTGTCTTTGAATCACCTTGATATGTGGTTTGTCTGCCATATTATTCTATGTTGTTGCTTTAAAAAGAAATCTGTAAATTTAATGAGCATAGTTTGGAATTTTCCTTTGAGCTCTATCTGGAAGGTTGGGTATACCACTTCACTGCTTTAATTCATCTGTATTGCTTAATTGGATGGCTGGCCGACAAACTCAGAGGCTCACTGAATTTAAAAATCTTGGAATTTATAGAAGGAGAGGAATGTGAAAAGTAATCATGAGTATTATTTATAAGAGGAGCTCTGGTGGCATAGTGCCTAGTACATTTGACTGCTAACCAGAAGGCTGGCAGTGCAAACCCACTAGCCACTCCTTGGAAGGAAGACTGGGTAATCTACTTCCGTAGAGATACCACCTCGGAAACCCAAGGGGGGTCACTATGAGCTGAAATCTATTTGACGGCAGTGAGTTTGGTTTTTGTTTGTTTGTTTGTTATTATTTCTAAAAACACCTTGTCAGTCGTATGCCATTGTGACTCTGTAAATAGATCCTCTTTCTCTTGTCAGGACCCTCTTTCAGAATTCTTCAGGCCAGAAGAATGATGTTTTTCACTTGGATATTAAAAATGTGAGCGGCATAGGGCACATCTTGGACTTCATGTACACCTCTCATCTAGAACTTAACCAGGACAACGTGCAAGTCATGCTGGACATAGCACAGTGTCTGCAAGTTCACAGTGTCCTAAATCTGTGTCACACGTTTTTAAAATCAGCTCCGGTAGACCAGCCACCTGGCCTGCCTTGTAATAATAGTACCTTCTCCCTGCAAAGTGCTTTGACTCCTGACACGAATTGTGTGAATTACACTCCTCCTGTGCTGCAGGACTGTTCCCCAGGCGCTCCGCATAGTAAAGTTGTAGAGGAGCCGCAGTCCCACACGCCACCATCGGTTAATCTTCAGAATTCCTCAGGGGAGACATCGAAACACGCCCCGGGGCCTTTAGATGACAGCTGCACACAACTCCCTTTCAAGCAGCCAAGTTACTGCTACAAACTCAGAGATTTTTACAGTAAGCAGTACTATAAGCAAGCGAATTGTCCCGGTCCCGAGAGAGTCACCGAGTCACCTTTCCCTTTCAGCGCGCCCACAGATGCAGAAAACCCACCTGGTGCTGGCAGCCCTTCCGAATGTGTCCTGGAATCTTCTGAACACTTGCCGGCCACCTTCCTGGCCCAGCCCCTGAGTGAACCGGCCCCAGTGCCAGAAGCAGAAAGCACGTGCCCACAGCCAGGCAGACAGATGAGGCTCAAGAAGGCCGTTCACCTGAAGAAACTCAACTTCCTCAAGTCGCAGAAATCTGCAGAGCAGATGTTGGAGCCCACATGCAACGATGATTTAACACAGAGGGTCAGCACTGCCGGTGAGAAGACGACCGGGCAAGCCAGCGGCCAGGGTACCGACGAGGACGTGAGGGAGGAAGCGGTCAGCTCCGAGGATGTTCGTTGCGTGAGTGAAACAGAAAGAGCTGAAGACCTTGGTGCGACGGAGGACCAGTCACAGGCCCTTCAGTCCCAGAGACAGTACGCCTGTGACTTGTGTGGAAAGCCCTTCAAACACCCGAGCAATTTGGAGCTCCACAAACGCTCCCATACAGGTACCCGATTCCGTCCTCGCAGGCAGAAGGAGAGGAGTAACGCAGAGGTCGCACCACTGCCTGCTGCTGCTCCACTTTTGTAAGAAGTTTTGCTGTTGCTTGTTGGAGTCTTTAATGCTTAAACACAATAGAGGCATTTTTTTTCCTTCTTTCTGTATGTTTTTGATGGTGCATCTTAAAGAATAATTGTCAAGTTCTGTAAATGGTTCTAGAGGGCTAGTTTGAAAACATGCCATGCTTTTCATTTTAATTATAGTTTTATATGTTATGCTTTCTTTAGTAAGTCATTTTGAGGCGCTCAGAATTTCAAATGACTTCTAAAGCAGAGAAGCTCTATCTAGTTTAAGGTGTTATCTGTAGAGATGGAGCGTGTATTTATAAAGTGCTGTCATCAAGTGGATCCTGACTCGTGGTGACCCCGGGTGTGCAGAGTGGAAGTGCCCACAGGGTTTCCAAGCCTGTGACCTCAGATTCCCAGGCTTGTCTTCCAAGGTGTTTCCGGGTGGATTTGAACTATCAACCTTTTGTCTAGTGGCTGACCTTAACCATTTGCACCAGCTTATGAAGCATGATACAGTTTAATCCAGACCGAAATAATTTAGTTTAGCAATTCTAAAAGTTCTCTCAGAAGTGATTTAGTATGTCTGATTTTTAAATCATGATCTAGAAGGGAGGAGTATACTTTTAAATAAAGATCAGCTTTAGCTATTCAGTATTTTCAATTGCAAACTCATGTTTTAAGCACTGAATTTTCCAAGTTTTATTATCATAATTTATACGTCCTCTCCCCAAAGTTTCTCTTGTTTTGAAGGTGTTGTTTCATACGTAAGGAGCCCTGGTGGCACGGTGCTTAAGTGTTTGGCTGCTACCTGACAGGTTGGTGGCTTGAACCCACCAACCGCTCTGTGAGAGAAAGATGTGACTAACTCTCTGCTTCATAAAGATTACAGCTTTGGAAACCCTGTGGGGCAGTTCTGCTCTGTCCTGCAGGGTCACTGTGAGTCAGAATGGCCTCAGCAGCAGTGGGTCCGGTTGGTTTTATGTAAATCGTGTATACGCTACTTTCCTTCCTGTGATTAAATGATGAGCTTAACGCATGGCAGGTTACCGACAGTTATCCCATAGGCCTGAGAGGTCATGCACTGCAGGGTGTGCCCAGATGGCTGCTTTCAAGGGCCCGTGTGGTGTGGGTGTTGGTAATGTCATCCCCCTGGAGCCCCGTTTGTGTGGGTGTCGTGCCCTCACTGTGCTGCGGTGACACTTTATGATGGTTTACTTACTCCCTTTATGGAAGTGCGCTCATTTGAGGAGAATCGCAGCCATTGCTTGTGCTAGAGGTCCGCAGCGCCTCCATGTGGAGGGCTTCCATCCACCCAGCTTTGCCCTGAAAAAAAAAGTGTATTTAGGTCATCGTGTTTGCTAAAGTTTTCTAGGCCTAATGATCACTGTGATTTTATTTGGGAAATTTATACATTTTGCTTCAAAGAAAATGAACATGAAATTATTATCTGAGACAGTATCTTTGAATGACACTAGTCATGGGGCAGGAATGCTTGCTGGGACATAAATACGCTCGAGAAGAATGCTGCGTATCAGAGTAGGAGCTGGCTTTCAAGCCCCTGACCTTTTGGAAACCCCCAAGCCCCTTTTAGGAAAATAGCCAAAACTATTTTCATTAAAGCTTGAGATGTTTTCCTTTTCCCTCTCTTCTTTGTGAATATACTAATGGGGTTTCAAGAAAACTGCCTGGTGTGTGATGACGTCGTCGCTCCGCTGGCCAGGCCGCTGGGTGCCTGTGTGTGTGGTCTCTGTGGAGTCTGTGGATAGATAGCCCATTACACAAAGCTCTCGAGGGCGCTCACGTTTCAGCAGAGTGTTGGGTCCTCAGACTGGCATAGGGTGAGTGACCCTGGGTTGCTTGTGAGTTGTAAGAGCCAGAGGCTAGTTTTTCTCAAGCTCTTATGTCCCATAATAGGAGCTTTAAGTTATCATTCTCTCTCATCCTAATAATTTCACACATAAATGTAACCCCAAAGTACAGAAGTAATATGACTGTAATTATTCAGGGTCAAAAGATTTCCCCCCCATGAGAAGAACTAGGTGGTACTCAGCTACCAATGCCATCACTCAGAAAGGGATCAAAATTGGAGATCCTGAATAGAGTGGGAGAAAATTGTGGATCAAAAATAAAAATCATTAAAAAAAAAAAAGGCCAGGATTAATGGTCATATATGGAGACAGGTGAAACCGCCAAGACTATAGCCCCTAGTCACCCTTCAGGCCTGCAGTTGGACTCACCCCCGTGGCATAACTCTCAGCCAAACAGTATACAGGCCTGTGAGCAACTACATTATTGAGACGCACTCCTTAGACCAATCAACCCTGAGGGAGCAGAAGGGCAGCATTTGACAGCGAGAAGGGCAGGGAGGCAGGAGTGCGTGACCCTGCGGGGAATGTAATCAGTGTCACAAAACAGTGTGTATGAACTGTCGAATGTAAAATGAATCTGCTTTGTAAAATTGCACCCAAATCACAATTTAAAAAAAAAAAAAAAACCCAAAACCAGGAATCCCCTCAGCCCCCTTTGAGGAAGCCATTAAATGTTTTCAGGAAAAGATCAAAATAAAAATTTCTTGACATGAGCTCAGAAAGCTAACAAACTAGTTTCTTTAAAGTGGCAAGCCCTAAGAAACTATCCCATGAGGTCACCTTTTAGCAAATTAACAGATGGGCACACAAAATAAAGGGTGTTCCCTGACGGTACAGTGCCCCATTCAGAAACCGCCAAATGGTCATCAGTGACTCTAAAGCAAAGGTGAGAAGAGGAGGAGGCAGGGAAACTAGAGGACTGGAGACAGAACAACCAGAGTGCGCCTGAAGAGAATACAGACACAGTGTGAGAAAAGTCACTGATACCACCGAACGGTGTGCACCGAAACCGTCAAATGGGAACCTAATCTGCTGTGTAAACTTCTCCAGAAACTCAGTACAATATTATTTATTTTAAGAAAATTATGTAGCCCCAGCAGTGCAGGAGGAGGGGAAAAGGCTGTTATTTTTCAGAGCTGATCTCAATGACAGCCCTTGACTGAGAGGAGTGAGAGAGGGAAGGCCTCGGGTCCCAAGTCTGTGCGTGTCAGGGCTGTCTGGACCTGAGCAGGACTTTGGTGTGCACTTAACCTGGGCATCTTCCAGAGACTTTCCTCAGAACAGCTATGTACCCTTCTCTACAATTTACACCTAGATGCCATTATTTTTAATTAAGGAAGCCAGAGGTGAGCAGGAGGTGGGCAGGGGCTCTCACCTCCCGTAAGGAAAGCTGTCTTCCCAGGCTCAAGGGCTGTGGAGAGGGCCTCTGCTCTGTCCCACTTTCTGGAGGCCCCGCCTTCATGTTCACCCCGTGCGGTCTGTGTGAGCTCGCCTCCTCCTGTCAGAACTCAAGTTAAGGTGAAGAGTCAGGCTGAAGACTAAGTGAACAAGAACACTCACATTTGATTCCCAGGGAAAGGAAAGAGCGTGTCCCAGGCCTAGGTGTGGTTTTACAGCAGCTACGTTGGACTCCAACGCAGGTTTATATCTGGGGGAAATTTTTCAGAGAGATGCAAATACAGATTTCACTCTTTTGTCTCCACCTGGCATCTGTGGGGGCGAGGGCGAGGGCGAGGGCGAAGCCGGCCAGCCCCCCTTTCCTTCTCTGAGAAAGGATGGCATGCCTGCCACTGAAACACAGGACACAGGAAACGAACATTTTTAATGAAAAATTACTGTGCAAATATTGCTGCTGATTTTACAAGTTGTGTTTTTGTTTTCTTTTGTTTTAGGTGAGAAACCTTTTGAATGTAACATTTGTGGGAAACATTTCTCTCAGGTGGGAATACTCTTATTTACTGTTAATAGTTGGAAACCTGAAACCCAGGGTTTATCTTTATTACAAACACCACATGCTCTTGGACTTGTCAGAGAAGCCCCTGATGATACCTGTACTTAGAAGATGTCAGACTAAAGCAGGAGAAAATCGTTTTCAAGAAAACATTTCTAATTCATTGGGAAGAAGTAGTAGTTTTTATGTGTATGACCTCTTACAATCCCTTTTGGGTTTGCCAGTTTAAGAATGGGTCCCATCCTAATCCTGTCTCCTCTTTCGTGAATAAAGTTCCCAGTAAAACACCTGGAATGTACACATTATGCTGGCCTAAGTCCAAGACAGGAGCCCTGGTGGCACAGTGGTTAAGTACCTGGCTGCTTACTGAAAGGTTGGTGGTTTGAACCCACCAGCTGCTCTGTGGGAGAACGATGAGGCAATCTCCTGTGAAGACTGACAGCCTTGGAAACCGTATGGGGCAGTTCTGGTCTGTCCTGCAGGGTTTCTGTGAGTCTGCATGGTCCTGACGGCAATGGATTAGGTCCAAGACATACGCTCTCCACGCTTGTACTGAGACCACAGATGCTCAGTCCCTGCTGGCCTCTGCTCACATCAGGTAGACACATACTGACTTTCTTACTCAACAAGCATTTATTGTTTCCTACCATGGACCATGTGCTGTGCTTGATGGTGGTCATAAAGATACCTAGATATTTCATGTTTTGCAGAAAATTTAGAATGGCGTGAGTAGCCTGTGGGAACCTGCTCTTTCTGAAATAGAAGCTGACTGTCTGTCTGCCATGTGCCAGGTAGAGGGGTCCCAGAGCTCAGTAAACCAAGCTGTCTGTCTACCTGCCATGTGCCGGGCACGGGGGTCCCAGAGCTTAGTAAGCCAAGCTGCTTACAGCGAGTGCAGGGTTGTGCTGAGAAGGCGGTTCCTGGCACAGCTGTACTGCACACAGTGCGGTCGGTTCTGGAGCCCCAAGTGCTGTGTAACTGAGGGTGTGACTTGTGGGCAGGGCCTTGACTGAGGAGTAACCAGTAACCGTCACGTTGACGCTCACTGATGGCAAACCCGTGTGTGTCAAGAGTAGAGCTGCTCCCTATAGGGCTTTTCTGGCTGTGACCTTTGAGAAGCTGACGGCCAGGCGTGCGTCTGGGTGGACTCTAACCGTTCACCTAGCAGCATGTTGACCGTTTGTGCCGCCAGGGATGGAGGAGTAGGAGGCTGTTAGTCTGGAAGGAATTAGGAAGAGTGTCGCACAGCACGGGGCCATGGAGCAGTGCCATCCTTTGACACGTTCCCCTCCGTCTGTGGGGTTTCCCACGCAGCTACAGCTGCGGTCCTCAATGCTTTCACTGCTTCCGCTGTGACTCCTTGCAGAGGCCGCACGTGGGCTCAGGCACAGCGACGCAGCGGTGATTGTGAGGCTGGCACAGGAGCAGGCAGTGTTTGGTTCTGTTGTGCGTCTGGGTGCTGTGAGTTAGGCCTGACTCACGGCACCTAACAACAGCCACGTGAGTCACCAAGGCTTAACTTCTGTTGTCTTATCAGTCCTGCCCTCCCCTGTTAGTTTCCACGGGCCAGGGCCAGGGCCTTAGTTTTCATTTGACCCCCAGCATCTAAGAAAATGCCTCACACCTCCTAGATGGGGAGAAAGTGTTTGCTAAAGGGCTAGGGCAGCCTTTCCCCGGCCACCATTCTAGATCAGGCGCTTGGTTCCTGCCGGCCAAGCCTGGGGTTCAGAGCTTGGGCTCTGGGGCTGGGCAGGTTGGATGTGAATCCTGCCTGTGACTCGGGCAAGTCACCTGACCTCTTGGTGCTTCAGTTTCCTTACCTGGAGACCAGGATAGTAAGATCACTCGCCTCAGCAGGAAGTGTGAGGTTAATGCTGGGGACTTGGAACGGCGTCTGGAAGGACCGCTCCTCCCTCCTGTCTCTTCATCGTCTGCTTCTGTTTATTTTGGTTAGAGTGTTATGTATGATGGTTATGGTTTGCAGATGTGTGCTGCTGTTTTATTTTCATAGTGAATGCTGAAATTGTTGACAACGAGGACCATGTTTAAAACTTCATCCAACACGTGTTAGTGCGAGCCTGTGGTGTCCAAGGAACTGTCATGGGCTGGGGGCACAGTGAGGAGGAGGGCATAGTTCCTGCCCTCGGGGAGCTTACTGTTTACAGGAAGAACTAGATGTGTGAACCGACCCAGTTCAACGAGACTTTGGAGTACTGCGGCAGAAATAAGTGTGGGAAAGAGTCTGGCAGAGGAGAGAGTACCTCGTTCTGCCTGAAAGATGTAGGTGTTTGGGGTGGGTGAGGGCACAACTGCTTGACATTGCTCAGCTGAGCCCTGAAGACTGGCAGCATTTGATGAAGCTGGAAGTCTCTGGCGTTCTAGATCAGTGGGCAGCCTGTGGTCTAGATACGTACTTAGTAAATAATAACCTCTAACTCATAAGCCCTCACCTTAAACTCTTAAAAAAAATAATTTCTCATAATGAACTGGAAAACCATGTTTTTTACTAAAGTAATGTATGTGTTATATGCACAGCATCCTTGAATGTTACTTTCTTGTGCACACTCTATGCATTATGGGAGCTCCGATGGCATAGTGCCTAAGGCATTTGACTGCTAACCAGGAGGCTGGCGGTTCAAACCCACCAGCCACTCCTCGGAAGGAAGGTTGGGCAATCTACTTCTGTAGTGATATTGCCTCGGAAACCCAAGGAGGGGTCACTAGGAGTCGAATCTGACTCGACAGCAGTGAATTTTTGAGTGAGATATGCATTATAGTGTGTGTGTGTTATTTTGATGAGTGCGTTTTATGTGAAAACGTAGTAAATTATCATGGTTTCAATGGATTGGAATGCTCTCTGTATAGGTTGTCAGAGTGCTTGCTTTGCTAGATGGGAGCTCCTAAAGATGTTGCCTTCTAGAATATTTGAAAGTTAGAAAACAGATGTACCAGTTAGAGTTAATGTTTCATCCTGTTTATTTGGGGTTTATTATTTAGTAGTTAGTCTTGGATTTCATTTTACTTAGATCCACAGTCAACATTCGTGGAAGCAGGAGTCAGGGAATCAGATATGGTATTGGAAAAATCCACTGTGAAAGCCCTCTTTTAAGCGTTAAGAAACAAAGATGTCACTTTGAAGACTAAGGTGCGCCTGAGCCAAGCCATGGTGTTTTCAGTTGTCTCATATGCATGTGAAAGCTAGATAATAAATGAGGAAGACCGATGAAGAGTTAATGCTTTTGAATTGTGTTTGCGAAGAATACAGAAGATACCATGGGCTGCCAGAAGAATGAGTAAATCTGTCCTGGAAGAAGTGCAGCCAGAATGCTCATTGGAAGCAAGAATGGCTAGACTTTGTTTCCCTTATTTTATGTTGTCAGAAGTGACTAGTCCTTGGGGAAGAATATGCTTGGTAAAGTAGAGGGTCAGGTATAAAGAGGAAGCCCCTCAAGGAGACGGACTGACACGGTGGCTGCAGTGATGGGCTCAAGCACAGCAAGGATTGTGAGGATGGTGCAGGCCCAGCCAGTGTTTCGTTCTGTTGTACGTAGGATTGCTACGATTTGGAGCCGACTCAGTGGCACCTAACAACAACAACAAGGTTAGTCTTAAAATAAAAAAGCTAACTACAACTTTAGGAATGAGTTGACAACCTGTGTGGTTAAAAAAAAAAAAGCCACTGCCGTTGAGTCAATTCCAACTCATAGCAACCCTGTAGGACAGAGTAGAACTGCCTTATGGGGTTTCCCAGGCTGTAAATCTTTGTGGAAGCAGACTACCTCTTCTTTCTCCCATGGAGTGGCTGGTTACCTTTCAGTTACCAGCCCAGTGTTTAACCACTATGCCATTGGGGCTCCAGCAGTATGATAGATACATCACCAAGAAAAACTGATGGACTCTTAGGTTGTAGCAAGAATATTACCTGTTACTTTAACTCTGGACACATGATCTCAGGAGATGAGTCATCCCAGTCTCTAGAGCATTCCTGAGTCTCCCCCAGGAAATAGAGAATGGGCAGTGTGAGGGTATCCAGGGGAGAAACACAAAGGCAGTGATAGGCTTGGAATCCCTGTCCCGTAGGAAGTAGGAGAAGGGAGACCTGGGTTGTTTAGCTGTCTTGAGAGAGGAACAGATGTTCTGTTTCTCCAGGAGGCAGAAATGGACACATGGCACATATTACAGAAAGAAAGATTCCAAGAGAGTCTGTCTTCCCAGCAGTGCTATCTAGCAGTGGGACAGCTACCATGTGTCCAAAACTAAACACACCAGTTGCTGTCCAGTGGCCTCTGCCTCTCGGTGATGCTCTGTGTGTCAGAGTAGAGCGACACGCCTAGGGATCTGATCACTGATCTTTCGGAACTGCTTTGCCTGGCGTTTCTTCTGGATGCGTCTGGGTGGGTTTGAACTCCCAACCATTCAGCTGCACCATCCAGGGACTCCACCTCATGTCCTGGGGCTGTTACCAAAGCAAGTCCAGCATCCGGAAGGAGTTGGCTCAGCTACCTGGTCCCCGGACACTGATGGGAGCCGGTGCCAGGGGTGACCAAGTTTCGCCAGATCTGTGGTGCAGTTGCAGAAGCAGAGACATCTTGAGGTGCTTTTCCTGAGTTACAGACTTGCGGCTCTGCAGTGTGTTTCCCGCGCTTTTGGTTCTTTTATCAACATCCTGATCATTGGTATTCAGATGACATCTCTGTGTGTATCCCTCGATTTTTTCTTTTTAATTTTGTTACTTAGTGGAATCTGGAAGCCTGAAAGCTTACGAATGAGATGGCTTTAAAGGCATGAGCGCTTTTGTCTCTGAAGTTTTATGGTGCACTGACTCTTTGGTTTATGTTGATTGAACACTCCACTGTAATTAAATGAAGATACGCATTGGGCTTGTTCCTGCGTAAATTCTGATGTTGAAGTTCCCATCCTGAGGAGCTTATGATACAGATTATGAGACACATCACTGGAGGTCATTCCTATGGCAGAATTGTTCATTGAATTTACAGTGACGTTTACTTACTGCCGAAAGGACAAGGAGGCTGCATCTTATGACCTCCTCTAACCCCACAAGAGGAAGATACAATCACCATCAGTGGCCCAAGGCCTATCCCTGCAAGGCCAGACATGCTGCCTCCCGCCAGCCCCTTGTCCAGCCCTAACACCAACTGTTCCCCCTGCAGCACCCACCACCAGTCTGCTGGGTTCAATAATTCGCTGCAGTGGCCACAGATTATAGGGTTTATTAGGGAAGCACCAAGCTACAATTCAAGTTCAGGAACAACGCTCAGTCTCTCTCAGCCCACCATCTCTCAGCCAGCAGTCTCTCTCAAGTCTCTCTCAGCAATGCCTGTTTCTTGGTGTCTCTCTCAGCAATGAGCGTCTCTCAAGAGCACGTTTCTTTCAGCAGTACATCTTTCTCAGCCAGCAGTCAGAAAGGCTCCTTCTGCCACTAGGAGGGCTCCTTTTGAGCCTGGCAGAGTGGCCCAGCTAACCAATCTCAACATCAGAATTCTATACACCTGAGAGAAAGTGAACTTCCCAGAAGATTGCTTTGTACCACTCAACAGAAATACCCCAGGTGGATAACTTTAACAGTCAGGAGCTACTCAGTTGCTCATGGAAAATTCTACCACAGTTTACAGAGACTTAGGCTAGAAAAGCCACACTGTATAGTGTACTACACCGCACTTAGGAAGTGTTGGGATGTCTTCACCGCTGACAGCCGTCGTGGGGCGTTAACAGCACTTAGGTGTCAGGTATAAACACTGACTTAGGAGCAGGAGATTCCAGCTGTCTGAGCCCTGGCTGGTTTGTCATCTCGCAGAGCCTCTGCAAAATGGGCTCATTCTGTTGGTGAGGATCCTGCAGTGGCCGAGGAAAATGACCGGCCGCTTAACAGAGTGCTCCTGGAAGATACCAGTTGGCCCCCACGTGTGGCAGAGTAGAATCCTGCTCCGCTTCTATGGATTTTGTCAGTGGCTGATTTTGGGGGAAGTAGATTGCCAGGCCTTTCTTTCGAGGTGCCTCTGGGTAGACTGGAACCCCCAACCTTCTGGTTAGTAGCTGAGTTCATGAACTGGTTGTAGCACCCAGAGACTCCTGCTGCATGCTGTTGTTGTTGACGGCCATCGAGTTGAGTCAACTCACAGCAACCTTACAGGACAGTAGAACTGCCTATTGGGGTTCCTGCACTGTCCTCTTTACGGGAACAGGTCACCAGGTCTTTTCTCCTGCACAGTGGCTGGCAGATTCAGTCAGCGGCTGAGCACTTAACCACTGTGCACAAAGATTAGAAAGGTTAGGGGAAAGATGTGAGCATCTGCTTCTGAAAAGATTACGGCACTGGAGACCCTGGGGCAGTTCTGCTATGTCCTACGGGGTCGCCCTGAGTCCAGATCAACTCCACAGCAGTGGGTTTTGCTATCAGATACAGCTAACAGAACACTTGGGACGTTTCTTACTATTGCCTAGTAGTAAGAACAAGTGAAAGACCATTTGCTTGTGTTTGCTTTGAAAATAACTAATTATGGTTTTTTAAAAATTGTAGCCCTGCTAAATTTGAACTCAAAGAATGCATTTCTTTGAGTGCATTCTTGTGTATTTTACTGTGACAAACAAGAAATGTGATGTAACACTTGGGCAGATCGTGGTACTCAAATCTGATCAGCCTCTCTGAAATTCAGAAGTGGCTGATCTAAAATGGTACTGGCATATTTACTATCTTAACAGTAAGAACTCAGATGAGCGTGTCTCCAGTGGCTCCTGGTCATCCTGTGTGTTGAAAGGGCGCTTAACCAAACCACATTCACTGTCACCGAGTCGATTCGGACTCATAGTGAACCCCATTGAGTTTCCAAGGCCATATAGATCTTTACAGAAGCAGACTACCCCATCTTTCTTCCATCAAGTGGCTGGTGGGTTTGAACCACTGACCTTTTGGTTAGCAGCCAAGTGCCTTAACCACTACACCATCAGAGTTAGGTTGGTCATTTCTAGGTTAGCGATGCCTACATCCTGAGGTCTTGCCCTCATGTCAGAGAAGAGTTTAGACTCACACAAACCCAATAATAATTTCTGGCTCAGGCAGTTACTCGTCACGCAGCTGTGACAAGTTACTTTTTCTGTTGAATCTCAGTTTTTCATCTAGAAAATAGAGCTGATCCTACCGACTACCATGGTAATTTCACAGTGAATATAACGGCCTAAGGGCACATCACCCAGATTAGAATTTCGGCAATGTATGTTGCTGTTGATAGTTTGATTACTGTTCCTAGTAGTCATTGTATAAAAAGCTGTGTACTTTACAAAGTTTTCCCAAATTTGTTCCCTCCGGCTGTGTCTTCTCTAGGCCGTATTTGTTAGGTTCTTACTCGGTGTCTCACGGTGTTTCCGAGTCTGATAGGAAAGTCCTGTGCGGCCGTGTTGTTTTTGTTTGTCGTGTTGGGTCGATTCCCACTCTCCGTGGCCCGTGTTAGAGAGTAGACCCGATCCGCAGGCTTTCTTGGCTGTGCAGTCAACAGAAGCCGATCACCAGGCCTCGTCTCCCTTGTTGGAGCTCGAGGAGGGTGCCGTCTGTAACACTTGGAAGTTTCCACCCATGGGTGGACTTCCCATCCATCTTCAAACTTAGGACCATCAGCGATCTTTGCATTTCTCTTCGACACAGTGCGCCGGTTTGAAGCCCCGTTTGCTGGTTTCTCGTCTTGTTCATGTTCCTTCGCTGGCTCATCTCTGTGCCTGCTGCCTGCACGTTACTGCCCTTGGCTTATAGTCATTCACTTCAAGGATTTTTATTTGTTTTCGTTTGTTTACAGCAAACCCTATAAAACCCAAATGAGGGAAGTGGCAGGTTGAGACCGTGAACTTCAGTGCGGCAGTGGAAGGTTCTTTCCATAGCCTGCTATGAAACCTTAGCGGGTGACCTGTGACACATCTGAGGCGCTTGCAGCTTCAGTTACCTGTGCTCTAAGCAATTTCCTGTGGATTTCCTGTGGATCAGTATGCAGAAGCCTGTTTTATGATCTCCATGGAAATGAAAGACTGGGTAAAGCCTCGCTGCTTAGGCAGTTAGGAAATGCCCACTGGGGATCTGGATGGCAGCTGTGACTCTGCTGACCTGCGGTTTTGTGCAGAGGCGACCGTGAGCCCATCAGGCAGCACGGGCTGTGCCACCTGGGAAGTCCCTCTGGGAAACGTTTCCTCCTTTGTAAGCAAAAGCACGCTGTTTAGAAAGAGATGACAAATACTGCGATACGGCTGTCCTTCTCCAGTGATGCTTGCGGGTAGCTAGATGGTCCAAGTTAAAAAACTATATATCAGAAGTAAAATGCATCGAGGGCTATTAAAACGCAGGCTTAGTGACCACGGAGCAGCCCCCACAGTGCCCTGGGGCCCATCTGAGAGGAGGCGCCACAAAGTGCCGGCCCAGAGATGCTTCTGAGGAAGGGCGTGGCTCAGGGACAGGATTTACACACGTCACCTGTTTCACAGGCTGCTGGGCGGCTGCCCTCGCGTTAGAACATGCCCCTTGCAATGGCTGTTCAAAAATCCTGCTTAGTGGCCTGGAACCTGAAGAGATGTCGGTTTTCCTTTTAAATTTATAAAACCTTTTTTTGAAAAACAAATGAAATGAAAAAAACTTTGATGACTGGTGTCCGTTTTCTTTTCCTCTCTTTGTAGGCAGGTAACTTGCAGACTCACCTGCGTCGACATTCCGGTGACAAACCGTACATCTGCGAGATCTGTGGAAAGAGGTCAGTGCTGGGCGGCTGCTTCTGCCCGTAGTGTCGGGGGGGGGGGAAGCCTGTTCTCTGCAGCTGCCACTTGCACGTGTGCTGTGCGGGGGCTCGCTCGACCCCCCAGGAGCACAGGTGAACTCAAACACCGGCCTGTGGCATGACACACGTGCGAATAATAAACAAGATCCAAGGAGGTTAATTAAAAGGAAAACAATCTAGGACAGGAGTCTTAGGAAGGAAATGGGGTTTCTCACGGAACAAAACTATTTTGTGCTGAAGTGTTCATTCATTCTGCAAACATCTGTTAAAGTCCCCAATGAGGTCGCCATTCAGTTGAGGTGAAATGTGCCCCTGGATGGCTGTACCTCTGAGGGAAGGGCTGTTCGAGAGCAGGGAGCATGGAGCAAAGCCTGACAGGGGGGACCACATTTTGACTTGGAAAGTGGAAACTGACTTGGTGACAGAGGGCCTCGTACTGGAGGTGGAATGACCTGTGGCAGTGTGATTCCTCGACTTGGTGTGGTGAACGAGGTTGTCCACGCCTGTGTGCACGTGGCAGCAGCCTCCACCCCTTCCCTCTGCCCTGGGCTGTGTATCTGCCTCTGCCCATGCCATCTCACGGCTGTGCTAGGACAGTGGGAACAACCAGGACAATTCCAGTCACAGAGTTTCCCACCTGCCCTGAGTACATAGTCATTCAGCCTTTGTTGTTGTTAGGTGCCGTTGAGTTGGTTCCCACTCACAGCGACCCTGTGTATGACAGAATGAAACACCACCTGGTCCTTTCCATCCTTACAGACCTTGCTGTGCTTGAGCCCATCATTGCAGGCACTGTGTCAATCCGTCTCATTGAGGGTCTTCCCCTTTTCCCATGACCCTCTACTTTACCAAGCTTGATGTCTTCCAGGGACTGGTCCGTTCTAGCAATAAGACCGAAGTAGGTGAGATGAAGTCTGACCATTCTCATTTCCAAGGAGCATTCCTGCTGCGCTTCCTCCAGGACAGATTTGTTAGTTCTTCTGGGGGTCCATGGTACTTTTACCATTCTTTGCTCACATCACAACTCAAAGACATCAATCTCTTCTTCGGTCTTCCTTATTCATTGTCCAGCTCTCACACGCATACGAGGTGATTGAAAATACCATAGCTTGGGTTAGGTGCACCTTAGTGTTCAAGGTGGTATCTTTGCTCTTTAACACTTTAAAGAGATCTTTTGCATCAGATTTGCTCAGTGCAAGACATCGTTTGATTTCTTGACTGTTGCTTCCATAGGCATTGATTGTGGATCCAAGTAAAATGAAATCCTTGACAACTTCAGTCTTCTCTCCATTTGTGATGATGTTGCTTATTGGTCCAGTTGTGAGGATTTTCGTTTTCTTTATGTTGAGTGTAATCCATACTGCAGATTGTAGTCTTTAATCTTCATCAGTAAGTGCTTCAAGTCATCTTCACTTTCAGCAAGCAGGGTTGTGTCATCTGCGTATTAGGCCCTTCCTATGTGCTGAGTTCTGTGATCGGAGCATAGAAGCCTCTGCCTGCCGATCCCTGCTCCCGAGTCAGGTGGGGAAAGGGGTCCGTGTGCTCAGTCCTCTGAAGAGCAGTGCAGTACAGGCCACAGGGACACCAGATGGATACCCAGCTCTCCCTTCCCTACCGAGAAGACACTAGTCTCTGCTGATGATGGAAAATTGGAACCTTCAGGGGTCATGCTCACTGGCTGGCACCGCAGAGCCAAGATGCCCTCCCTCTGGGTCCTGCTGCTCTGGCCAGCTGGTGAGGGTGCAAGGGGCCTGCTCTGCTCAGCTCTCCCAGGCTTAGTGTCCTCTTCTCGCCTCCTAACCAGTGAGGTCACGGTGCCATACCAGGCAGGGTCTGCTCTTGTGCTGGGAGATAGAGGAGCAAAAGTGAACGAGGGGATAGAAGAGGTTTGCTTAAAAACAAAACCTTGCATCGTTTTCTGTTTTCCTTTTGAAAAAATGAAAGAACGGAGTGACGATTCACAGTTCACTTCACGTGAAACCCGGCCACTGGCGTGCTGAGCCACCGTTCCTCGCTCGGTGACTTGCCATTGCAGGCCCACTGTGGTGCGGAAGGTCCTAATCGAATCTTCTAATTGTGCCACAGGTTTGCAGCCTCTGGGGATGTCCAGCGTCACATTGTCATCCACTCGGGAGAGAAGCCACACTTATGTGACACCTGTGGCCGAGGTATCTGTGAGCCTTTTGCTTCTGTTCTCGAACGTGACTGGCTGAAATTCCTCAGCCCTTCAGTGCCGCCCCTCTTCTGGTCCCTCCAGGGTTTAGTAACTTCAGCAACCTGAAGGAGCACAAGAAGACGCACACGGCCGACAAGGTCTTCACCTGCGACGAGTGCGGGAAGGCTTTCAACATGCAGAGGAAGCTGGTGAAGCACCGCATGCGGCACACGGGGCAGCGGCCCTACAGCTGCACGGCCTGTGGTGAGTGGCCTGGCCCCGGCAGCCTTCCTCTCGGGGCACGGGCGCCGGCCTCCATCCTGCTCTGTCCCTGGTGGTTTGTCTCTCAGTAGGCAGCCAGAGCCACCTCACAGGTCAAATGGAAGTCGTGACAGTTCTTTATAGCCCCCATGGCTGCCTGTCTTGGTTCATATATCCACTGGGGGTCACTGAGAGTAAGGACTGTCCTTGACGCTCAGGGGAGGGAGGGCTACAATGGAGGCCCGCTGCCAGGGCTCACAGGCCAGCTGGGTGGGTGTGGGCAGTGACCAGTGTGGACGGGCATGTACGTGGCTCCGTGAGGGAGTGCGAGGCAGGGACTGTGTGCGGGGAGAGGCAGCGGGTTGTGCTGCCGAGAATCAGGGCCCCATGCTGAGATCGTTTGTTTATAGGGCAAAGGTCATTTCTGGGCACTTGGGTCTTCATCATGAGCATCAGGGAGTTATCAAGAAAGGCCAACAGCAGGTGGCCATGCTCGGCCTCAGGGTGCGTCCTGCGCCTGGTACCTGTGATCACAGTGTCAGAGCCAGGACTCAGACTCACGGCCCTCAGTGGGCGGGGCTTTGTGTGTGTGTGTGTGCATGTACCTGCACACCCATGGCAAGGACTGCACAGTGCCCAGTGAATCATGGCGGAAAGAATGACCCAGGACTGCCATGATTACCTGTTTAGAGCCAATGGGAGGCGCTCTAGTCCAGCCGGAGGCCTGGAGCAAGCTGGGCTTCACAGTGACTCATCCTTGCTGGAATTGGGACTGCAAACGGGGCAGGCCTTCAGGGGTGGAAGCCAGGCAACTGAGTGTCTCCAAGTAGACCGCACACAGTTCTCCCAGATGGAAATGCAGGCAGTTCCATGGCTATTCTGAGTCCCTGGTGGTGCAAACGGTTCACGTGCTTGGCTGCCAGCTGAAAGGTCGGCCAGTCAGGTCCAGCCAGCAGACTTCCGAAGACAGGCCTGGTGACCTGTGTCTGAAGAGCCAGCCCCTGAGAGCCCTGTGCGCAGCGGCCGTCCCGGACACACTGGATCCTCTATGTTGCCCCTCCCGTTCTCTGGCTTTGCTTTACTTTCTAAGAGCTTTTCTCACTGTGTCTCCTAGCCCTTGTGCATTTTTAGTCTCTCCTGTAATAACATTAGTGCCTAAGGCACTTGACTGCTAACCAGAAGCCTGGCGGTTCAAACCCACCAGCCACTCCTCAGAAGGAAGGTTGGGCAATCCTACTTCCGTAGTGATACTGCCTTGGAAACCCAAGGAGGGGTCGCTATGAGTCGGGGCTGACTCGACGGCAAGCAACAACAACAACAACAACAGCAGCAACAACAACGTAATAACGTTAGTGTCTGAGAGTGGCTGCTTCTCTGAGTGCCCCGGGGTTAGCCTGTGCCTTTGTGTTTCCTGCTGCAGTCTGTCCCTTGCTGTCATCACTGTGGCTTCTGCTCTGTCCCCTGCACGTGCCTGTCTCCGGGCTTTCTAGGGTTTTTTCCTTGGCACCTTCCTTATCAGGGACTTTGACTGCCTGTAGTGGAAGTTGGCCTACCCTTCTCGCTCCTCTGCTGTAAATGAGAACAGAACCCGCCCCTGGGAGCTGTGTGGGTGTGGCCTTTGGGGGACTCATGCTGTAGTGTGGTGAGGCAGGCGCTGTGGTCATTGCTGGGCATTTTCCAGAGGAGATTCCCCCATTCTCCTGCCTTTGGGTATAAGGTTTGGGGAACCACGGCAGGGAAGGGGCCTGAGGAGGTCCTGGCTTGGCAGGTGGGCTGCCTTTTACGTCACGCTCTCAGGATGTTGCCACACCCCTGCCTCTCCGGGGTCTCCACCCTGGAGCTCTCTGTCTTGGGGCGGCGAGTGGGCCAGCCACCTGGGTGAAGCTGTGGGCCAGGACTCCAGATGCTTCTTCCCATTCTGTCCCCTGCTTCCCGAGCCGCTGAGTCCTGCTGGGGTGTTGGCTTGTTTCACCTGCCACTCTTCACCTTCCAGGCTTTGTCACCACTGTGCTTGTTCCGTGTTCCCGCTCCCGCCGCCCTGCTCTTTGGGGGTGCATGTGTTCCTTGTTCCCTCTCCCACTGCCCTGCTCTTTGGGGATGCGCGTGTTCCGTATTCCCTCTCCTGCCGCCCTGCTCTTTGGGGACACATTATACGTTCCAGGTTTCTTCGGTAGTGTTCGGGAGGGAGCAGAGGTACATGTGCCTGCACAGGTGGTCAGGTTGGCTAGAACTTGTCCTCATTCACACACTTTCAGTTATTTTAGCTTCTTCTTTTGTCAGCATGTGCCAGGTGTCACATGTGATTCTGTGTATCATCTCCTTCATGTGGCACCCCCCCCCCCAATTCCATCGTTCACTGCTTTGGCCATAGCCTAAGAAAGTCAAAATTCTTGTTAGGATTTATTTTACATGTAAAGTAAGTTCCTCACAACGACTGAGAGAAACAGCTCTACTGTGACTATCATTTATACGTATGAAAACCAGAAACCCAAACCCATTGCTGGCGGGTCTGTTCCGGCTCACGTCCCTACCATGTGACAGAGCAGAGCTGTAATATTCACAGGAGCAGGTCACTAGGTCTTTCTTCCATGAAGCTGCTGAGTGGGCTCGAACCACCACCCTTTCAGTTAGTTGTGGCGCAGTGAGTCACCTTCTAGCCATGGTCTTGTAACTCTCACAAAGTGATTGAGTGGGACCATTGCAGGTAACGTGCTTGTGGCCCACCAAGGGGACTGGACAGTTCTGCTGGTGCAAATAAGGCACATGGGCCCTTGTAGGGGATTGATCAGTTTTGCCATCCTACTAGACTTAAAGGAGCTCTGGTGGCGCAGTGTCTAAGGCATTTGACTGCTAACCAGGAGGTTGGCAGTTCAAACCCACCAGCAACTCTGTGGAAGGAAGATGAGGCAGTCTACCTCCATAAAGAGTTACTATCTCAGAAACCCAACGGTGGTTGCTATGAGTTGGAATCAACTCAATGGCAGTGAGTTTTTTTGGTGTTAAAGGAGACATGGGGGAGACCCACAAGAACAGGTACACCGGCTTTCCCGCACATGTCCCGTGCAGCAGACACAGGGGAGATTAGCCCTGCAATGCTAAAAGCCTCAAGGCTTCACCTGGGAAGGAGGGCAGCGTCTGAGTGCGTGGTGGCGTCAGAGGCCTGGGAGTACTGGGGGCTGCCCTGAAATCATACTCTTCTGTTGTTTAGAAGCCAGGAGGAGGGGAGCCCGTTCAGAATCTCCACTTGTAAAAACAACCTTTTCCCTTTTTCCAGGAAAGTGTTTCGGGGGATCCGGGGACCTCCGCAGGCATGTCCGCACGCACACGGGGGAGAAGCCGTACACATGTGAGATCTGTAACAAGTGCTTCACACGCTCGGCGGTCCTCCGGCGGCACAAGAAGATGCATGGCAAGGTCGACGTGGACGGCCGGGACGTGCTGGAGGAGCTGGGGCCCACCAGCGAGGGCACAGACCTGGACAGGTCGCAGAGCTCAGACTCCTTTTCCCAGGACGTGTCTGTGACCCTGATGCCAGTGTCCGTTAAGCTCCCCATCCACCCGGTGGAACATCCGGTGGCAGACTCTGACAGCCACTCTGCAGGCCCCTACTGTAAGCCACGGCCCATGGTTCAGCCGCATGGCATCAGCGACCAGGAGAAGCTGAGTTTGGACCCGACTAAACTTGCCAAGCCCCAGATGCAGCCACCAGCGCATCCGGCGTACGCTTACACAGATGTGGAGTCCTCAGGCACGGGAGAACCACTGCCAGCCGACAGCATGGCCGTCATTCGCTCGTCCCTGGCGGCCCTGGACAGTCACTGCAGTGACACCCTGGGTGGCCGAGCCCCTCCCACAGCTCACAGGAGCTCAGAGGGGCAGTTCTTCTCCAGCTTGACTCTCTGGGGCCTAGCAATGAAGACTCTGCAGAATGAAGGTGAACTGGACCAGTGATGGTCCACCCAGTGATGGTGCAAACCAGTGATGGTCCACCCAGTAATGGTCCACACTTTGATGGTCCCCCCAGTGAGGGTCCACCCAGTGATAGGCCAAACCAGTGATGGGCCACTCAGTGACAGTGATGGCCTACCCAGTAATGGCCCACCCAGTGATGGGCCACCCAGTGATGGGCCACTCACTGGTGGGCCAAACCAGTGATGGTCCATCTAGTGATGGCCCACCCAGTGAGGGTCCACCCAGTGGAAGCCCACCCAGTGATGGTCTACACCCACACGAGAGTTGCTCTGTGGGTGGCAGGGCTGCAGGAATGAGCCATTTTCCTTGTGACGGGCCTGCTAATCTCCCAGAGAGTGTGTGGATTATCCACCTCCTGATGGGGCTGCCAGTTGGAAGCAGCTTAAACTCAAGGTTGGAGAAAGGCTCTCTGGCTCAGCCCTGAGGCAGCTGTCAGAGTGGAGGGCTTGAACCCCAAGCACCAAAGGCTTCAGAAACTCTCCTCGTAACTGTAGCCCGCATGGTAGAGGGCGGGCTCTGGTCAACTACTGGACGTTTTGGTCATGTTGAAAAGAAAAAATGTATATATACGTACATATATATATAGAGATATATATGATATTATTTTTACAAAATTGAAATTGTAGCATTGTGTATTTTTAAATATTTATACAAAAGTTCTATTTGTATATGAAACTCAGACTATAATTTGAATAAATGAAATTTGCTTTTATATATAATTCTATATGTTTCTGTCAGCATTTTTATTAATATAAAGACCAAACTACAAACCACACCAAACCCGATGCTGTCGAGTCCGCGCTGCTTGGCGAGTCAGAGTAGAACGGGGTCTGTAGGATTTTCGGCGGTCGGTGTTTTCAGAAGTAGGTCACCAGGCCTTCTTCTGAGGCGCCTTGGGATGGACTCAAATCTCCAGCCTTTAATTGAGCAGCTGAGTGCACTAACTGCCTACCCAGGGCCTCCAGTCTAAAGATCATGGACCGGCTGCTGGGTTCAGACCACCAAACTTTTGGTTAGCAGCCAAGTGCACTAACTGCCCGACCCAGGGACTTCAGTCTAAAGATCACACACCAGCTGCTGGGTTCAGACCACCAACCATTTGGTTAGCAGCCAAGCACTGAATCACTGTGCCACCAGGGCTCCTTAGGTAAACCTCCAACCCTTGATGAATGCCCTCTGTCCCTACACGTGGGTGGCCAAGCCAGGCTGGTGAGAAGCACAACCATGCCCTGGTCTAATGGCACTCTCTTCAAGGGAGTGCCGTGTGCCATCTTAACAGCCCCTCCCCATTTCTCTGGTTCGTGGGCTGTCCTCTACAACTGTGCCATGCATTTTTTTTCAGACTTCCCTGGCCTAATGAGCATGGCTCCTGTGTCAGAACACAGGAGCAGGCTGCCTCCACACGTGTGTGTCTGTGCCTATGGCTCCACCCCTTGTAGACTGCGACCTTCCCACCACCTTGCCCTCCATTTCCCATCCTCTGTTCATTCTTCTCATTAGGACTCATCACTGCCCAGATACTGTATATTTTTCTGGTGGTGCAGTGGCTAATGCACACGGCTGCTCACCAAAAGTTGGCAATTTGAACCCACCAGCTGCTCTGTGGGAGAAAAGATCTGGCAGTCTGCTTTCATGAGATTAAAACCTAGGTAACCCTGTGAAGCAGTTCTTCTCTGTCATACGGGATCCTATGAGTCAGAGACGACAGCATACAACAACGTACTATGGAAGTTCCTAGGTGGTGCAAATGGTCTGTGCTCAGCCACTGACCAAAAGATGGCAGGTCACACCCACCCAGAAGTGCCATGAAGGAAAACTCCAGCTATCTGCTTTCATGACTATGACAGCCAAGAAAACGCTATAGTTTGAGAGCTCAGTTCTCTGACAGCTGGGATTGCCATGAGTCAGAAGCCACTCAACGGCACCCAACAACATACTATGAAATAGATTTGTATCCCCCGTCAGGATATAATCTCCAGGAAGACATGGACTTTGGTGTCTCTGCTCCTGTTTCCCCAGTGCCCGGGACAGTGCCTTACACTTGTTGTT